CTGAAGATAACTAGGTTAAGTAAAATAAAGCACAGAAAGACAAGTATTGCATGATCTACTCACATGTGGAATCTAAAAAAGTTGAATTTGATCAAACAATACAAAGTTTCAATTATGCAACATGGATAACTTCTGTATATCTAATGCTGAGCATGGTGAATATAGTTAAAATGATGCACTGTACACTTGAAATTTACTAAGAGTAGATCATAAGTTCTCACCATCATAAAAATAAGTATTTAAGGTGATGGGTGTGTTAATTAGCTTGTTATAATTATTTTATAATGTATACATGTATCAAAACATCTCATCACACACATTAAATTTATACAACTTTTTAAAATTTTTTAAAGTTGTCAATGGATCTTCATTTTTATTTATTTGTATGTGGTGCTGAGAATTGAACCCAGTGCCTAATACATGTTAGGTGGGTGCTCTGCAACTGAGCTACAACCAGAGCCCAAATTTATACAACGTTTGTCACTTGTACATTAATAAAGTTGGTGTTATAGTTTAGATAGTAGGTGTCCCCCAAAAACTCATATGTGAGACAATGCAAGAAAGCTTAGTGGTGAAATGCTTGGGTTATGAGAGCCTTAACCCAATCGGTGAATTGAGTGGACACTGAAGGTGGGTAGGGTGTGGCTGGAGGAGGCTGGTAACTAGGGGCATGCCTTTGTATCTGGTAAGTGGAGATTTCTCTCTCTGCTTCCTGATGATCATGTTAGCTGCATCCCTCTGACACACTCTTCCACCATAATGTCCTGCCTCACCTCGAGCCCCTAAGGAATGGAGCAAGCCTCTTATGGAATGAGACCTCTGACACCGTGAGCTCACAAATAAACTTTTCCTACTCTACAATTGTTCAGGTTGGGTCTTTTAGTCACAGGAGCAAAAAAGCTAACACTGTTGGGGAAAATGTAAGAAGTATTTTTGTGCAGTATGCACTTTTTCTGTTTATGTGCAGCGTTTTATGCATTATCAAATAGCTATACCAAGTGGAGAATATCTCAGTAATACATTTCAATTAATTATTGATATATTCCAATTTACTGTTTACATTTAATAGGCTCACACTGTATAACTCAAACATTCCATGGATGCCATCAGCTTAAATCACTGAAAGTAGAATGGGGAAATAGAAAGAAAGTAAATGACTGTAGAATGTTGTAGAAAGAGCCTTCATTGATGATAGGTAGAGTGAGGATAAAGTCAGCTTAGTTGTTATCTCACTATTGAAAAATAATCACTATTTACAAGGGAAAAGATCACTTCTTAAATGAAAGATTTCAGCTCAACTTGCCTTTAAAATCTCTGTACTGGTGCTATTAACCAGAGATATCCTTTATTGTGTTCAATGGACCAATATAATGAAGCAAGGGTAGAAGTATCAATAATGTGATGAACATTCCTCATACTGTAGCTTATTTCTCTGGTAATGATGTTTACAAAGGACATCAAAATAGATGGTACATAAATCACCACAAAAGCCACAGAATCAGTATCTGGCCTGAGTGAGGACAAAGTCCCACAGAGCACCCACAGCTCCAAATGATGCTAACTGAAAGGCCCTCAGCTCAGATGATAATTATATAATCAGTTAGGTTAGCTGATCATTGGTGCAAAGTGCTTAAAAAGCTCCTTAAACTACAAGAGTTAACAAAGTTGATTTATTTTTAATAAATAAAATTATGAAGTATATTACCAACAATAGATGTTTTAAAAAAGAAAAATCTGGGTTTCAATTTTTATTTTTATTTTTTCTTAATTTTTTTAATTGTTGATAGAACTTAATTTTTATTTATTTATATGTGGGGCTGAGAATCGAACCCAGTGCCTCACACATACTAGGCAAGCACTCCACAACTGAGCTACAACCCCAGCCTCAGAGTTTCAATTTTTAAAAGGTGATTTGAGCATGTAGATCTACTTCTCTTCCCTTTCACATGTGTGAAATTATTAGGGAAAAATTAGTTTGGGGGGAAGTCACTACATTGCTAGATAATTCAAAAAGGTAATTAGGCCAGAGATTTCAAAGAAATCCCAGATGCGTCAGCCAGGTGCTGTGGCAAATGCCTGTAATCCCAGAGGCTCAAGAGACTGAGACAGGAGGATTACAAGTTCAAAGCCAGCTTTAGCAATTAGGAAGACCCTAAGCAACTTATCAAGATCCTGCCTCTAAATAAAATACAAAAA